TGTTTCTCAATTTTAGGGCATTCATTGTTGTATAATTGGTTGTAGATGTTGATTAAATTATGTTCATTTGTTCAGTATTGAGATCTTTTTTCTTTTAGTTTATCCAGTATTTCACAATGCTTCTGTTTAGTTTTGCTTTGTATCTATATTCATGAAAGAATGTGCTCATATACTCAAAATATTAAGGCATACTCATACTTTACTAGCCCCTAAATATCTTTGGAAGAATTCTTAATTCTTAACTTCAACATCAGCAAAGATTGGTAGTGATGGACATATTGGTCTTGTAACTATTATAATCAGCATCCACGCTCATGTTTCCATGTCTTTTGTGAAATCTTGGACCCCCCCCTCCATGAGCATGAAGAATCACACGCTGCTGAAAGAGTTCGTTCTACTGGGAATACCTCAGACAGAGGGACTGGAGACCATGCTCTTTGTCATCTTCTCATTCATCTACCTCTTCACCCTGCTTGGAAATTTGCTTATCCTTATAGCAATAATTTCTTCCTCTACCCTTCACACCCCTATGTATTTCTTCTTGGGATCCCTGTCTATTTTTGACATGTTGTTTCCATCTGTAAACTGTCCCAAGATGCTGTCCTATCTCTCCGGCCAGAGTCGAGTCATCTCTTATAAGGGATGTGCTGCACAGCTCTTCTTCTACCATTTCCTGGGTTCTACTGAAGGCTGCCTCTATTCTGTGATGGCTTATGACCGCTTTGTTGCCATCTGTCACCCACTGAGGTATATGCTCATCATGAAACCTGGGATCTGTGTCAGTTTGGTCATGGGAGCCTGGCTGGTGGGTTGTCTTCAGGCTACCATCCTGACCTCCTTTACCTTTCAGTTAACCTACTGTGGACCCAATCAGGTGGACTACTTCTTCTGTGACATTCCTGCTGTTTTACCCCTGGCTTGTACTGAAAGTGCTCTGGCCCAGAGAGTGGGTTCCATTAATGTTGGCCTTCTGGCTCTAATGCTTTTGTTCAGTGTCTGTGTCTCCTACACTCGCATTGGGATTGCCA